GAGTTTGTCAGTATCGTGACCAAATTTCTAATACCTACACTTCCAGAAAATCAAACGATCGGAATATATCAAGACTACCACCTAATGCTTCATAAGCTTCAACGCGACTTTGCGAGAGATAGAGAGTCGGTTCTAAAACGGTTCTATTCCGAGCCGAAATAGAAGAAAACAACGTTGTTCCCTGCGGCAAAGGGCCGCCGTCTAGCTTTGACTTTGACACTTTCACTTTGCCCGTTCTTGAACGGGACAACTCGAAACTCTAATTAAGACTCGGTTACCCTTTTTCCCTGTGCCGCGTGTGAACGCTAGATTTCGAAGACGTCCGGATAGAGGCTTGACTTTGTGATTACGAGGAGGTTCTCACGAAACTGTACACCCCTTTCACATTTATGCCTATGTACATATATACAACGGGGCTTTATCTTCGCCGTGTGCGTTCGTAAAAAGCTCCGAGAGAAGTAACCTGTAACTTTAGCTGGACAAAAACGAGATAGGTATTACGTAACTGTTTTGTAAAAAGATAGTTTTCAGAATTGGCCGAGGCAAACGTTCACAGGTTTGCCTGGAAATTAAACAATCCTCAGTTTTTCCTTTTTGCCAATGTACCGAGTATAATTCCATTCGTAATTTTTTGTTAAACATATGTCAAACACAAAATTGTAGATAATATTTGCTAGTTCTACTGTGGGAAAATATTCAAGCTAACGGAAATGTAACTTTCCACGGTTCAAGGTCGTAGAAGTGTACTGTGTTCAATTTGCCATAGAATTCTCTATAATACTATCTAAAAAAAAGTAAGTCTTATGGAATAAAAAATGCAGATGACCTTGACATCAAAATATGACCTTGGAAAAGATGTTCTATCAAAAGAAAACAATCAGAAGTGTAGAAAACAATTTACTTTATTTTTAAAGCAGCGGAGATATTTTAAATTTAACAAATGAATGATATTGAGGTTATTAGTTTGTCAAGAAAATTCGTACTAACCTGTCCCTACATTCGACAATACACTACTACTCATTATCAAAACATCCGCCCAGGAAGTGTACCTTAAACATCTCTCACATTTATTACCACAGACTCCGAACATTTACCCTTTCGAAATAACCTCAAAAAAAAAAAAAAAAAAAAAAAAAAAAAAAAAAATTCAAAACGCCACTTCACCGTGTTTCACACACACAAAAGCGACTTTCAATAGCCCGACAAAAATTTACAGTTGCAAACGGGAGCGTTCTCTGCGTTTGCAACCGGAGCGATGCGATTTCACGTAACCGAAAAACAAGCGTCGATGGTGCATCGAGAGGAAGAAAAAGCCAGCTCGACGAGCGTGTATTAAAGCGAAAACGGCGCGTAAAAAGGAGGAACATCGTAACCAGACTGGCCATTTGAGGCCAACCGGGCATTTTTATCGGGAGGAAAAACGTTTAATAATTGGACCGATGGTTTGAAACATCGACGGAAAGTGCGTGCAACTCGATTCCGCGACAACGTTTTCCCATCTACATCATCGTCCGCTGGTTCGATGGCCCGCCGCGATACGGTACGACGTTCTGTGTCGTAATGAATTCCCAATTAAAGGTTCCGCGATTGGCCGCTGGGTGCGCGCGCGTCGATGATTTACGCGGCGGACGGGTCGGCGCGCGTGATTCTCAGGCGACACGAAATCTCGTTACGCGAGGCGAACAAAACGACGAATTCCCGGTGAAAACCGTATTCATTAATAACGGGCTACGTTTGGTATCGTTGGATCGCGGCACGTAGATAGCCTGGAACCGGTCGGCCAGACGGGGGATAAAACTCGACACGCGAATCTCACGCGAAGATAAGCGGGCATCGTGAAGTAAATCAGATCTGTTCCCCTTCGCGCGCGACCGTGCATTCTCGATGTAATATACGGAGACAGCGGGGACAATCAACCGGCGGCCGCCATATCCGCGGATAACGATGCGACTCGATCTAGCCTCGTGGCTTTTAACGAGCCGTGTCAAAAAATCTGTGTGAAACGAGGTTGGACAAAGGAATTTCCACGTTTGCGGAAAAATTATCATGATTGTGGTACGGTAGGGAATATTTTATTGTCGATAATTAATTTAAAGGTAAATGAGGAATTGAGATAGAAGTTTGACGATTCGATTTAGCCCCATAGATTTCGTGCGAAACTAAGAGGTTAGGTTAGAGGAATTTCCATATTTGAGTCGATAATTAATTTAAAGGTAAATGAGAAACTGAGATGGGACTTTTAACTATTCGATCTAGTGTGTGTGAAGTGAGAGGTTAGGTTAGACAAATGAATTTTCACGTTTGTCGAAAAGTTATTGTGATGATGGTATAGTAGGAAGACTTTTACCGTCGATAATTAATTTGAAGGTAAATGAGAAATTGATATAGAAGAAGTTTGACTATTCGATCTAGTGCTTGTGAAGTGAGAGGTTAGGTTAGACGAAAGAATTTTCACGTTTGCGGAAAAGTTATTGCGACGTGGGTATAGTAGGAAGAATTTCATTGTTGGTAATTAATTTGAAGGTAAACGAGGAATTACGACAGAAGGATCTACTGTGTGTGAAGCTAGAGATTAGACGTTAAACAAAATATTTTTCACGTTTGTGGAAAAGTTATTGTGATGGTGGTATAGTAGGAAGGAGCTTGAAGAATTTCTAGGTTAGTTCGTTTGACGGTGAGAATGATATTTTCAGTTACGGTGGAAACACATCAAGAAGGTTCAATTCTGTTATACGTAATGATTGCAGGTTTTAGGAATCACTGATGTATCCCTTTCCCAGAAACCGTGAATATTCCTCCGGTCAGACATTTTCACATGCTTCCACGTAACTATAGAGTACACAAAAGTCAAAGACCACACCCACGGGTGATTCTAAATTCTCACGAAACGAAAATACCGCACAACTGTATTTTACACACCGGTTTATCGATCACCATTCTTTCACGACTATTCACGTGCGGTTAAATCGGTGCGTGAGGTATGTGCTATCGCAATGCACGCCTCGCTAGCCTGGCCTCTGAATAGCATTCCGAAATCTTGAGCGACCTGATTGTTACGGAACACGAATATTCGATTTGCAGGTCGTGGAACAATAGATTTGTTATTTTATGCCAAACCAGATATCGTAGAAATATTGATTGGTTGTTTTTCATTTTATTTTCAGGTTAGGATTATTACCAATAATAAAAATTTAATGCATGATTTTTTCAGTATGTAATTATATTAGAAGAAGCAATTGTATGTGTAATTAATAAAGTTACTTTCATTCTTCTTGAATTAATTTAACCCTTAACCTAATTCTATTGTTAAATTAACATACAATTAATTTACCAATAATAGCACTCTCCCTTCTTTCTTCCAAATCTCCACAAAATTCATCGCAATCCAAATAAACACCTGTCAACCACTACAAGCTTCGACGTAAATATCCCAACCTAACCTAAACGTCATCGCCGCACTAAAACGATCGGCTCAACCACAGAAACGACTTACCCAACGTTTCGAGACTGCTCATTCGGCGGTGGACGACTAAATCAACGCTTTCGACGCGGTTTTTCTTCCCACGTTCGTTCGAGGATCGGCCGTAACGGGTCCCGCGCGCTGCAAATTGCAGTCCTGTCGTTTCTACTGCATCGGGATCCCCCCCCCTAGGCCGGTCGCGAGACCGCGCACGCCACCTATAGTCTACTGTTACGCTGTAGGAAAAATGGTCGCAATTGCGCCAATAAATCTTCCGCCGCTAATGCTAGGCCCCCTTGAGAAACAGTTATCAGATGCTCGAGACGCGATGCGGCTTTAACAATTTCCCGGCTATTATCCTCGCCGCTCATTAACGATTCGCTGGACTCGATGATATAACGGAGCACAGCGCCCCCTTCCTCGCCCCGCTTACACTGCCATTATGGTAACAATATATCGACTGGTAATGTATTAGACGTTTACCGCGTATGAAAAGATACCATTTATCTACCCGCGCGGAGATATGTGGACGTGGATAAGCATCGGGAAGCTGGTTTCTCTGCAGTTTATTCCATTCGAACAATGTCCGAGGTGGGATATAGTGGGCAACGTTAATTGTGGGGAATTCGTTTAAGGGAATGGAATGTTATTGAGCGTGTGGTTTTTAGAGGAACGGCTCGGGATAATGCCAGCTTTGCAAATTCTAACCTTAAATGTTGAAACAATTCAAGCTATCGGCGCAATGGCGGACTAACCTCAAAATCTTTGTTTTGAAATTATAGATGATGATGTTATTGACGTTTTAAAATGCTTTTTTAACACGTTGCGTCTTTTCTTTCGATCGCGTTACGTTGAAAAAGATTACTGCAACTTTTTAACCAATTAATGTTTTTCGTAAATCGTACGTAGTTGTTTTAATTCGTGAAACGTCTGTTATGGTATTTCGGAAGAGAAATTGAACCATTTAGAGCGTTTTGAAAATTTCAATGAATTAAGTTTCTGTTTTTAGGTTATGTATGATTTATCGTGTCAGTTGTTTTGAGAGGTTGCCTAGGTTGCTATGGAATTAAAGCTTCTCTTTGCATATAAGATGGTTTGTGCTAGAATATCAATTCACCCAAAATTGTAGGTTAGGTTACTCCAACTTTTTTCTTCTAAGATAGTATTAAACTACTATTGTAAGAGATCAACAGTATTTTTTAATGTTTTAATTATATTTATATTATACGTGTTTATAATGACAGTATAATAAAAAGGAGTGCTAATTAAATAAATAATTACATGTTCATTCAATTTTCAAAAGGTAAAGTGACTTATGAACCACCTTGTACTTACGTATTCTAACAAAACCACTACTCTTTGCAAATTATCTCTAAAATTACACTATTTCTAAAAGATACGACAACTAAGGTACTTAAATATTCTAACGAATATTCACCTAACCTCAAAACACTAAAAGTATCTTCTTATTCATCAACCTCCAACGCATTGCAGCAACAACAAAAACTGCACTTCGAATAAAAACCTAACCTAACCTAAACTACTGTTCGTTAAGAATCATCGTCTTCTCGTGCCTCTCGATCGCGATCTTCTTGATCCTCTCCCACAGCATGGGATACGGATGTATCGTCCTCGCGAAATCGGCTCGATTCAACCGGTACAGCTCGCAAACCTCAACAGCGACCACACTGGCCACCCTCATCTCGTTCGGCATAACTAGCGCCACCTCTCCAAAATGTGCTCCGTCCTCCAAATGACAAACTTCCTTCCCAGAGTTCGTGTAAATAGCCACCGTACCAGTTGCGATGAAATACATACAATCACCAGGCTGATTAGCCCTGACAATCACGTCGTTGGTCAAAAATATCTCAGACCTCAAAAGTGCCACGATTCTTCCCAGAAGCGACAAAGGTAGATTGTTGAAAAACGTCACATTCTCGACCAACTTCCTGCAAGAATGCATACTGATCTCGTGTCTCATCTGAGCGGACAGAGTGTGAATAATCTCCGGCTCGCGAAAGAACCTGTGCTGAAAACGAAACTCGTAGTACTCTATGATTCTGGTTTGAGTAGGATAGGGAAGTTGTTTGTGCCTCATGTATTGCCTCAATTGAGCCACGGTGCCTTGGTACCTCAGTCTGGAGCTGTTGATACCTTTGAAAAATTGCATGACGCGTGTGATGAGGAACCACGGTGCCACTATGCCGAATAACTGCAACACTATGATCATGTAAGTGTCCCCAGCGTTGTTCGGGTTCGTGTGAAGCAGATCGGCCCTCATGAATGTCGCTATGGCGCGCAGAATGCTGTTCAAGTATTGCCAGCTCCTGTGCGACTCCCATAGGTTGTTCACGTGGATCCAGGAATCGCTTCTGGGACGTTCTACTTCGCGCATGGACGTCGTTATTATAGGCATGAGCCAGTGGAAGCAGGACTGCCAATGTAACGCGAGTATCAGCCAGAAGAGGATTAAACAAAACTCGTGAAGTGCCATGGGGATGTCGTAGGCGAATGCTAGCTTGTTGATGTAGGAGCCTAGAGAGAAGACGCGGAATATGCACATCAGGGACGTGGTTTTACGGGACACCGTGTATTCCATCCAGACGGAGAGGAAGAAGAGGTCCGTGGGGAAGGAACCGAGGAGGTCTAGAAGGAAGGTGCTGTGCTTCACGTAGCGGTTCATTATCTTCCGTTGCTCCAGAATCACCGCGTGCACCTCCTTGTCGAAGTATCTGAGGGTGAAAGGGAAGTTTCAGGGGTTTTTTTGGCTCGGTTTTGGAAAGGGTATTTGTGTGTTTATCGAGCCTTTGAATTTCGAGTTTGAAGTCACTTTTTGCTGTGGAACTTTTGAAAAACCAAGGCTCTGTTTCGCAAAATGAAAAGAATTTATTTCTATTTTTTTACGTCAATTTGCGCTAATTTAAGGATATGAAAAAAGGTGAATTTTACGTTTTAACCCTTTGCGATCGGTGCCGCCATAGTGGCGGCATTTCAGTTTTGTTGTAGAAATCGGTGTCGCCGCTATGGCGGCATGATCTTTGTTTTGTCAAGTATCGTACTTTGGAAAATTACAAAAATTAAAACGTTTTATTTTTATGCACTATAACTAGTATGTATTAAACGAAATGTATCAGTTTCAAAATATTCTGTTTTTCAATATCCTTATACATAAAAAAAAAAAATGTAAATTTGCTCCGACTAGCTGGTAGTCCCACCAGAGAAATGAGCCGATCGCAAAGGGTTAAAGTTCTCCAAAGTAATTACGCACGTCGCCGTAAGAGCGCCATAAGAGTCATTAGAATTTGTTTCTATTTTTTATGTCAATTTGCATTATATTAAGGATGTTAGAAAACCTGAATTTTACATGTTAAAGTTCTCCAAAGTAATTAGTCACGTCGCCATAACAGCACCACTATAGAGTAGAAACGCTCAATTTTGTGAACGCACAGATTGAACGAATGATCGAAATTTTTCAGCGTTCGCTAAGATTAAGTGTTGTGTGTTTTCTTAATTACGAGAATGTCAAAATGTGTAAATAATGATAAAATGGCAAGGTTCCAGTTACTCATTTCCCTAGAACACTTCAAACAACATTAAGCTGGACTTGTGAAAGTCTCGAATCCTCGGCTAACGAATTTTTACACTCACAAATCACTTGCACAACGCAGGAAGAAGATTAGAAATCAATTAACATTTAGAGAAGTTAGGGTTAGAAGGAATTAGCCAGAAATTACTTAACCAACTCTCAAGAGTTAATCATCGCCCTCGATGAATCTTAGACTCGTGAGTAATTAGGCTTCAAATTCGACCATTTTCAACTTACGATTCTTCTATGTATAGTCGGTGGAAGAAATTTAGTCAGGCGAAAAATGCGAGAGCGAGATTCTTTTCATTTCGATTTCTATGATTCACATGATTGTGTATCACTATGATTCGCCCAATATTTCGGTCTTATTTTCTCTCTAACATGTTCCATGTCACATGGTGGAACTTACAGAAGTTCCATCAACTATACTTTCAGGTCAAATCAATCTCACTATTTCGGTTTTACCGACTATACTTTAAATTTAATACCTAATAAATTTTATTACCTCATTATATCGCTTCCATCAACTATACATTCACGCCTGATCAATTTTAGGATCTCACTAGTTCCTTTCTACCGACTGTACTTTAAATTTAACACTCGATCAATTTTATTACCTCAATATATCGCTTCCATCAACTATACATCGACGCATGATCAATATTACAACACTATTTCCTTTTATACCGACTATACTTCACATTTAACACCTGACCAATTTTACAATCTCATTATATCGCTTCCGTCGACTATACATCGACGCCAGATCAATATTACGATCTCGCTTCATCGATTCCATCAACTGTACGATGTTACGTATCGATGACACGCAAGATGTTACTCTGTACGCGTAATAAATTAACGAAATAAATTTTTCCACTTGCCCAGTCATGCAGTTGACCACTATGTCCGAGCAGCAGACGAGAAGTAAGATGTTCTTACTAGTGTTCCAGATACGCGACTTTTTCCCCATTTCGAATGTAGCTTGATAAGGCACAAGCATCAGCAGGCTGGTTATCAGGAAAACCATCAGAACGTCCCAGTAATGCCTGTAATAACAGTCTGGGACATAATACGTGAGGCAAGTGGACCGGATGCTCGGACAGTTTATCGGAAACTTTCACGAGAGACGATTCGTCATTACGTTAACTGTACATTGTGCGTTGCACATGTGGATACTATTCGCATCCTGCGCTCTTATTGTGTCGTCTTAATCAGCTTAACACGTTCGCTACCAAGGTTCTTCTATTCCTTCTATCCTTGGAATTATTTTCATTCACATTCTTAGTATCTGTATTTTTACAATATTTATTACTCACACTGTGCATTTTGTAAAATATATTATAATAGATAATACCATTTTAATTGACACCATATATATGACGCTTGATAGCAAACGTGATAATATAGTGAAGAAGAAAATTTTAAAGGCTTTCGATTTGAAAATTTTTTTTCGTCTCGAAAAATATTGTCCTTTTCTTACTTAAATGTGAATTTCACAAGAGTACAGAAATTTTTGTATCAACCTAATAAATAGGAGATGTATACCTGAACATGCTAAACGGATGAATAATATGCGTGTGATTGCGCCAATGGCGACGTTTTTCGTGGACAATGGACGCGCTGCTTCTCAGATACTTTTGCGCGGCTGGATTGTTCCGCGAGGCCATTAGCCATTGTCGCAGAACGTCGTAAATCTTCCGGAACGGACCTCTGCCAGGAAGGAATAACATGTCTGATTCCCCGTCTGATATGTCGCAATCATGT